TATATATGGATAGGGAGCTCTGGTGGCCTAGTGGCAAGAAGCTGTGCTGTAATCCTGAAGGCACATGGTTTGAGGCCACCAGCTGCTCCATGGGAGAAGGATGGACAGTCTCCTCCTGTGTGATTAACTGCCTCTGGAAACCTGCTGAAGGGTCAGCTATGGGTCAGTTCCGACTCTATAGTACACAACAACAACAACATATATATATATGGATAGAGAGCTTTGGTGGCCCAGTGGTAAGAAGCTGTGCTGTAATCCCAAAGGCATGTGGTTTGGATCCACCAGTTGCTCTGAAGGAGAACAATGGGCAATGTACTCCCATACAATTTACTACTTCTAAATACCCACTGGAGGGTCAGCTATGGGTTGGTTCTAGCTCAACGGCACACAATAACAACATATGTGGAGGATAGCTACATTGTTTATCTATGTCATTTTTCACAAAGAGGTAAATGACTTTCTGCTTTTTAGGATTCCTGATCCACAAGACTTTACTGATATCAGAAAGGATGCATGTTCACCTAATTTATAAATCATTATTATCTTCCAATTTACCCCAACTTTTCGTTTTCTTTTACTATGTGAAGTGAAGTAATGTGTCTGATAAATTACTTAGAACTGCTAGGACCACATTAGATATATTAGACAGATTTTGTAGACTTTAAACTGTCTTTCAATCTTTTTATGCTTTATATGGAATTATGGAAGCTATTTAGGAATATATTTAAAAGTAGAAGGCTATATTTTGTATAATGGAAACCTATATTAGATGTGTGGCTGAACTGTTTGACGTGTCCAAGGAGAAACTCAGGGAATAAATTAGAAACAGAAGGTGAAGATGTTAGAGAGACTTCATTTCATGCATTATACATACATAAAAATATAGTTAAACCAAGCACCTCAATCTCGCAAATGAGATCATCTGTCCAATCTCCATTTACAATTTCCACATAAAGATGAAATATAATGCAGCTAGTCATAAAGTACAATATAGGCCATTTTATACTAAAAAGGATTAACTACTTTATTTTCATGCCCAAGAATGTATTAAAAATAGGTTCATTTCCAAATTGTGATTTATAGTAAGTGCATACAAATTCTGTTTCATTCCTTAGCCTGGATATAGTTACATGGTGCAGGAAAAAATAACCTCTATGACAAGAGGTAGTCTAAAAAGGAGGCTGTGTGATGGTAATGGTGGTGATCAGGGTTGCTACACATATATCTTAAAGGAATACTAGGGAAGATGGAGAACTTAAGCTCCTTGAACTTAACATTTGTTTGTTAAAAGAACAAACAAATTTGTCTTGGGTTAAGTGGAACCAGACTGCTCCTTAGAAGCAAGGGGGAGATGGTGGTGGTGAAACTTTGTCTCACAGAGTTTGGGCATGGGGTCAGGAGAGGGCCAGTCCTGGGGAAAAGACATTAATGCTAGGAAAGGGTCAAGGAAAGAGAGAAAGATCCTTCAATGAGATGGATCAAAACAGTGACTACAAAAATGTGCTTAAGCATGACAGAGATAGTGATGATGGCGCAGAATAAGGCAAGGTTCAGATCTGCTGTTCATAGGGTCACTATGAGCCGACTCAATGTCACAACACTGTAACAGGGATATTGCTCCTTATTCTTCCTTCAGCCTTACTCCTTTCTCTATTTTTTCAGTTACATAGGAATCAGTTCCATGAAGCAAATACAAACAGAAAATTTGCAGTGATGTGGAAATGGAACTCAATGTTCCTCTTTTCCCTCCTTAGGTTCAATTTCTTCCCATAGGATAATTTTAATACTTTTCTGATAGAATATATGTAGAAGTCTACAAATTAAAAATGGATGTATCCTTATACACTGTCAATTAGCACCCTACTCCCTAAATCCAGACAAAGACCTAAGAGCACATGGTAAGTAAGCAACAGTGCTCTTGGTATTCCTTTGACTCTTTTTGCTAAGACTGCTCTCTCTGACAAATAAACAGTTTTGAGATGTGCATTTAGTAGAGCTTTACAGAGTGAACAACTATAGGTTGCACAATGGTTAAGCATTCAGCTGATAATTGAAAATTCTGTCTGCTTCCATAACTATTACACTCTATGAAACCTTATGAGGCAGTTTGACTCTGACCTCTAGGGTCAGGTCACTTGGAATCTGAATTTACTTGATAGCATACCACAACATAAAGTAGGGAGTAAATGTTTACCTAGCCTTCCAGTTTAGGTGAACGAGTCCAGGTTAATGGCAGAAAATGGAGCTAGAATGAGATAAATTTTCCATCCTTGGATATCCTGATTCTCACTAATTCACTTGTACAGAGTTTGTTAAAGAAGCATGAAGTTCTGGATAGTGACTTTGCCATCCATGAGTTCCGAGTACAAAATGTGTGCACTCAAGGAAAAGATATCCTGAGCAAGGTGAGTCAATCCAAGGATTGCAAGTCAAACTTATTCTTTCAAAAAAGGACTGTTCTAGTTCTTACAGATGTACATCAAAAGCTTTAGATGCTCTTGAACTCAAGATGCTCTTGAATGTGAGGAATGTGGTATTTGTAAACATTGAAAACTAGCTTTGACTACAGAGTGCTATAGAAATCTGAAGAAATTTCTTTGTAAACCATTAAGGAAGAAGAACACACTGAAGCCTTTGTAATTTGAAAGGTGTGCTTTCGTTAAATACTTGGTTTTACTAAGTCTCCTTGACCAAGGTACTAATCAGTGATGATCTGTTCTATAACGCTATACCAACAAAAAAGGAATAGTTACTTGACAGACTTAAGAAGATTGTTCAGTTGCTAGAATAGAAATAACTGTCTGAGACATAGATGGATAACAAAATAATTAGACTGAACAAGAGAAGAAGGATGACAGGTTTGGAATGGGTGTGATGAGATTTTAGATGATATTAAAGAAATTACAATTTCTAGCCCTGCATTCTTATCAATATATTGATTTTTTTTTTCTTCTTCTCCTCTTAACTTTGGTGTCACAGGAAGAAAGTCAGCACAGAGAGGAGATTTCTGCTAAGCTTGAGTCTCTGAATGAAAAGACTCCTGTACTGGCCAAAGCAATAAATGCATGGAAGCTGCAGCTGGAGGATGATTATGCTTTTCAGCAGTTTAACTGGAAGGCTGATGTGGTAGAGGCCTGGATAGGTATGACGTGTGCGTCCTCTGTGTTTGAGGAATGCTCATAAATCTCATTTTAAGAATGGAGTTTTCTTTTTGAGTTGGAAAAAGAAGTGCTTCCTATCACTCACCTTACTCCAATCCTTTCTAGATATAATTACAACCACTTGTTTATAAGTACATATATGTAAACAGTGTACACACAAACCTAATCGTAAGGTAACTAAGGTGCCTGATTGCAAAGGAGCAACTTTTCTTAATTGGTTATTCAATATGTGATATATAGAAAGTTGGGGCCAGAAGAAACTTTCTAGAAAGCAAATTGTATGTTTGATTCAACTGTAATTTATGAAAAATCTGCAGTTTTCCTTTGTTGTATAAAAACTCAATTTCCTTGGCCTTTGCTTTCTTCCTCAGTTGTAGCCTGCATAAACCCAAGAAAACAAGATATGAGACCCCGCAGCCCCTAGACTCCAGTGGAGCACACACTTTGATTGTCATGAGCCTGGAGACAGTATCTACGACTGATTATCTGGAATGATAGACACCAGCTGTATTTTCTCTCTCAGAAATTATTTTAGGGAGCTCCGGTGGTGTAGTCTGTAGAGAACTGCACTGCTAACTCAGTGGTGACACCTCTCTGGTGGTTCGAATCCACCAGTAGCTCTGCCAGAAAAAGATGTGCAACCTCTTCCTATGCAATTCACAGGCTCCTGAAAACTTCGGGGACCTGCCATATTCAGACCAACCATATTTTCCCTCTTAGGGATTATTTGTTTTCCTTTCAGCCGAGAAGGAAAAAAGCCTGAAGATCAATGGTAATGGTACAGACCTAGCTGCCTTCCTCACTCTACTGGCAAAGCAGGTGAGTACAGGACTCCCTTGCTGAGAGATATCAAGGAAACCTTAGGCCCTGGGACAAAGAGTTCAGTCTTCTAGAGTCATTTGCTCTCTGACCTTTGTAATATTATTGTTTAGAAGATCAATATATTTTCCCTTTTCATTCTTTATATTATTTGCTAGTTTCTTATCCAACTCCTTGCCTCTTTCTTATTGTATTTCTTATCTCCTCTCTTCTCTAACCCTTTTCAACATCTAATCTTTGTATTGACATTTGGGTTTGTTTTTTTTTTTATATTTGTTTTCTCAAAATGATCAGTCTAATACAGGCCACGTTCAGTTCAAGTTGGAAGTATAACATCCAGACTTTGTAATGTTGATATCAACATGCCTGCAGAAGAAAAAAAAAATGTATTTGTACATATATAAAAGCATATGTTTTAGTTTAAATTATTTCTGAGATCCCTATAAATGTACTACTACTAATTAGTAATTAAATGTAATTGTGTAAAAGAATATTTAGAAAAGATGTGTGCTATAGGAAGCCTTCAATTTCTCTTGCAATAATCTAGAATATCCTATCATGATACAGTCTTGCTTTAGCAGTTAAGTTTACATTTAGCCTAAAATAAAAATTTTAGACATACAGCTACTTATAACTTGGCTGTAATTCCAACCAAAAATCTTTACTTAAAACCTCTAAGCCTTATTTTATATTCTTACTTATCACTTTAACTCTTGTTTAACTCTTAAATCTCCTATGATCACAAACTGGTAGAACCAGATCTTCTGTTTAAAGGTGCCCTGTCTCCGTACTCTGTCTCAGGATACTCTGGAAGCCAGCCTGCGAAGCTTCCAGCAGGAGAGGCTGTCTGAGATCACGGACCTGAAGGACCAGCTGGTAGCAGCCCAGCACAGCCAAACCAAAGCCATTGAGGAGCGCCATGCTGCTCTCCTGAGGCGCTGGGAACAGCTGCTGGAGGCATCTGCAGCCCACAGACAGAAGCTGCAGGATAAGCAGTTGCCCTTACAGAAGGTAAAAAGGAAAGTGATTAAGGATGATCAAAAGAAAAACTCACTGCCATCAAACTGATTCTGACTCACAGAAACCCAACATACAGGACAGGGAGTCACAAGACAGAATAGAACTATTGCCCCACAATATTCCTATGTCTGGAATCTTTGTGCAAGTAAACTGTCACATCTGTTTCTTTTGGAGCAGATGGTGGGTTTAAATCCCCAAACTTTTGGTTACCAGACAAATGATTATCCTTTGAACCACCAGTGTTCCTTAGTTATGATCAGGGCTTTGCTTACTGTACATAAACTATAAATCCAGAATTAGTAGCTGAACGTGCTGGTTGGATAATCTAAAGATATTTGAGCACAGTGATGTGGATTGGGAAGATGTTCTGGTGAGTGTGAAGCAGCACTCGAGGAAAATTTGTCTTCGATTAGTAACTTAGTTTTCCAGATGGCTGGAAAGGAAAGTCATGTGTATGGTGTAGAAGTAGTAGTTGGAACAAGGGCATAAAGAATCATTTCTTGTGTATGGTAGAACTGAAATGTCCAGGAGTAGTTACTTTTCCCTAACTCAAGTAAAGGATACCCTGGATAAATGAAATATTCTTAAAGATTGTATTTTATTCTTGTATTGACCTGTCCTCGCTGAAGAAGTTTGTATATTTCACTAACAATGACAAATCTTTATTTCCTTATGAAATGAAGGTAGTATTACTATCCATGTCTGCCCTTCTGGATTATCATTATTACTATTATTCTTAGGTGTTTTCTAAAAAAATATTTATTTTGTACTGGTTTACATACAAAGTCAATAAAATTCATATACATCATTTTTCACACCAAATCTTTTATTTTACCAATCCCTCCCTCCACCCATCAAATAGTATGACCTTATGTTTAAGTTCCCCCTTGCCCCTTTTTGGATCCAGTACACACTCTACAATAATGGTCTTATACACTATTTGTCCTTGTGGGACTGATTTAGTTCACTTAGCATAATGCTATCTGGTCCCTCCCATGTTAGGTAGTAATTTAAAACACCATTGCTCCTTTGTGCTGCATTGTATTCCATTGTGTGACTGTTTCATAATTTGTCAATCCATTCCATTGTGGTTGGGCATTTGGGCTGTTTCCATGTTCTTGCTATGCTAAATAACTCTGATATGAACATTGCTCTGTTTGTGCCTCAGTTCTCATTTTCTCAGGATATTTTGCAAGAAATGGAATAGCTGGGTCATAAGGAATTTCTATGTTTAGCTTTTTGATAAAATGCCAAACTGCCTTCAAGAGTAGTTGTACCATTTTACAATCCCACGAACAATATATAAATAACTGTTCCTATCTATATTCAATCCAACATTTATTACTTGCTGCCCTGCTAAACTTTGCCACTGCTACTGGGGTAAAACGGTATCTCATTGTAGTTTTGATTTGCTTCTCCCTTATTGCCAATGATTTGGAATGTTTCTTCATGTGTTTTTTTGCCATCCAAATGTCCTCCTCTGTGAAAAATCTTTTCAAGTCTTTTTCCCACTTTATAATTACATTATCAATCTTTTTATTCTAGAGGCTCTGTACTATTCCGTAAACTTTACTTATAAGACTCTTGTCTGAGATGGTATTGCCAAGTGTTTGTTTCCAGTCAGTAGGTTTTCTTTTCACACTCTCTTAGAAAAAGTTTTTTATGAACACAGAGATTTAATCTTTAGAAGGTCTCATTCATCAATTTTATCCTCTTCAGAGTGCATTTCTGGCTATATTGGCAGTAGACTAAGCCTTCTAAGCTTCGTCCCAGTTTGTCTCTTCTGAGCTTTATAGTTTGAGGTTTTATTCTGAGGTCTCTGATCCACTGTGAGTTGATTTTGTGTATGGTGTGAGACGTGCATCCTGTTTCTGTTTTCTACAGGTAGAAGTACAATTTTGCCAGCGCCATTTGTTGAAGAAGTAATCATTTCCCCACTTGATAGCTTTTATTTCCTTGTTGACTATCAGATGGATTATTATTACTAAAAGACATAAAGGATCTCAAATTGCAGTCCAAGACATGGAGATCTCTATAGACAGATCGAGTTATGATCTATAACTAGACAGATCTAGTGATGATAACTAAGATATTAGGCCCTGATGATACTAAACACCTAATGTTTAGGTAGGAGAGCTCTGGCGGCACAGTCCATAAGGAGTTGTGAAGCTAACCCAAAGGATATACCCCTCTGGCAATTGGAATCGACTAACTGCTTCTTGGAATTAGGGAGGGCAATCTATTCCTGTGGGATTTATGATCCCCCAAAACCTGCTCCAGTTATGAGTTAGCTTTGAGTAGTTCCAACTCAATGGCAGTATATTTTTTTTTTTAGTGTTTAGGTGTTTTTTTTTTCCTAGTAATTATAACTAAAACATTAGTAATAACAATAAGTAAAGGAAATAAAGATGACAAATGCAATAACTGAGCACTTAAATATGTTAGCCAGAGGAAAAGGGGAATTAGAGGAAAGAAGCACACAAATAAACATTAAAGAAATCCAAAAATTTCACTTAATTTATACTTGAGCAAAAGTGTAGGACCCCGGAAAATATATATTAAGTGAAAAATTAATTAAATTAATTGCTTTATATAAACATATACTTCATCATAAAAAAGTTATTTTAGTCTATTTTGCTTAAATCTCAAACTGAAAAGTTTTGTATTATTATGATATTATTGTGAACTATTTAGCTAATACCTAAAGTCACAAAAATAACATAAAATATCTTTTAGATTTTTATATCTTCCCCGGGTAGGGGTTATATGTCATTTTATACTGACTGTGAAAATGAGTATGAAGTGAGAAATATTAGTGTCATATTTTTTTCCATCTCCTCTCCCTTTAGTTCCATTTTCTCATTTGCTCCTATGTTTAAAAGCAAACCCAGCCTGCTGTCACCAAGTCCAATTCATAATTATGCATAGGATTTCCATAGTTACAATCTTTGTGGAGATCACTGCCACTAAGGCATCAGGGGCCCCTGTCTACTGTTGTTACTGTTTACTGTCAAGCAGGAACCTGACCATCCTGCAGGTTTTCAGAGGCAGTTAATCACGCGGAAAGAGATTGTCCAACTTCCTCCCATATAGCAACTGGTGGATTTGAAGTGCGAGCCTTCAGGAATGCAGTGCAGATTCTTACCACTAGGCCATCGGAGTGGCAAGAAACTGCATTATAACCTGGAAGGCACATGGTTCAACATGGTTCAAGGCCACTAGCTGCTCCACAGGAGACACATGGGTAATCTCCTCCCATGCAATTAACTGCCTCTGAAAACCTGCCAGAGGGTCAGCTGTGGGACAGTTCCAACTCTACAGCACAAAATAACAACAACAATCTTTGTGGAAGGATACCTAGTGCAGCAGTGGTTAAGATCTCAGCTGTTAACAAAAGCTCAGTAGTTCAAACCTATCACCGGCTTTGAAGGAGAATGATAGTGTCATTCTGCTCCAGTCTTGGAGTTACAGTCTTGAAAAGTCTATGGGAAAGTTCTCTTCTGTCCTATAGGATTACTATGACTCAAAACGGACTCCACAGCTTTAGGTTTTTGAATTTTTATGGTACCAGTAAAGCTCCTGCCATTGTGTACTGATGAGTCGGACTGACCCATAGCTGACTCTCCAGTGAATTTTCAGAGGCAGTAAATTTCGCAGGAAGATATAGCCCATGTCTCTCTCTCACGTAGTACCTGGTGGATTGAAACTGCATGCTGCATGCTTCTGGCAGGGCAGCCACCTCCTGACCAGTAGGTCATCAGAGCTCTGAACTAGAAGGCTTAGGAAATGACTATTCTTTTTTGTTTGCTTGTTTGCTCTTTTAAAAAAATTTATTCTTATAGTTGCTTAAGGAAAATCTTTTTACATATGTAATATCATAAACTATAAATCTATGATTGAATTTAAATCTAGTCAGCATAATTTTTGTTCTGTGTTATTTCTCTTATTCAGTAATACTGATAATTGAGTTATTTAGAGCATTTGGATAACTCTAAATTGTGATGTAGAAATGCACAGATATAAGCGAAGTATACCACTGTAGGGGGTAGGAAATTTATTTAAACATGAGTGCTTGAAAAGCTTTAGGCATAGATCAGACTTGAACTAAATTTAGAAATTGTTGTTGTTGCTGTTATTGCTAGGTCCTGTCAAGTCTGCTCCAACTCATAGTGATCCTATATACAGTAGAACAAAAGTAGGCTCAATTCTGTATCATCCCCATAATCTGTTGTTGTCCACTCTTTCAGCCACTGTGTCAAACCATTTCAATAAAAGTCTAACTGTCTTTCACAGATTCTCTACTTTTCCAAACACAATATCCTTTTGCAGATATCAGGCCCACCTGATAACATGCCCCAGATGTGTGAGGTGAGATCTCTCCATTCTTGCTTCAAAGGAGCACCTCGCTGCATTTGTTTCAAGCAGATTTGTTTCTCCTGTTGATAGTCCATACAGATACAGAGACATAATTTGAAAAAGCTCAGAAGAAAGATAAAAAGGCAGTGTGGATCAAGAATGGAAAATATTTTCCTGGCTTGTTTGTTAAATCACTAATTTGGTCACTTAATCAACAGAACTTATTTGCAGACTTTTGTGTTCAGGCAAGATTGGAACATAGACTAAAATCTGTAAGGGTGAGGACTTATGAAATTATATAATGAGAAAAGACCCTCAGCGCTCTCAGAATCCTAGAGCTGAAATAATCTTATTAATCTCCTATGTCTAAGTAGGTAAAGAGTTGCACTACTAGCACAAAGGCTGATGGTTCAAGTCCACTGGCTGCTCTGCAGGAGAAAGATGGGCAATCTTCTCCTGTGCAATTTGTAGCCTCTAAAAATTCTCTTAAGGGTCAGCTTTGCGTCTTTCTTGACAGCACACAACAACAATATTTATAAAGGATAGAAAACTTAATCAACTTTCACAATGAGAAAATGCCTGGTGTGTATTTCTGACTCATACGACTGTCCATTTGATCACATGACCCTACACCTACACTGATGTAGATTCTGCCCTGTTGGATTACAGGCCCTGCAAATATCTGATAGCAGTCACTCTTTCCATTTTCAGCCTTCTTTTCCACTAAGGGTATTTACCAGAGGAGATGGCAGTGTCCTCCTTTCTCTTTGCAGGCTGAGGAGCTATTTATGGAATTTGCGAACAAGGCTTCAGCTTTCAACAATTGGTGTGAGAATGCAGAGGAAGATCTATCAGAGCCTGTACACTGCATCTCCCTGAATGAGATCCGGCAGCTACAGAAAGACCATGAGGTCTTCTTGGCCTCCTTGGCTGATGCTCAAGCTGACTTCAACCATTTGCTGGAGTTAGACAGCCAGATTAAGGCCCTGAATATGCCATCCAGTCCTTATACCTGGTTAACAGTGGAGGTGCTAGAAAGGTTCTGGAAACGCCTGCTTGGCATTGTCAAGGTAACTTGAGGCACAGCAGAGACATTCTTTGGCTTTTGTGAGTATGATCTCTTAATCATCTATCAAAGTTGGTTGACTTTTGAAAAAGCACCATTAATATGAATCACACAAGAACACACACACAAAGTGACATCATACATATGGAGTTGCAATGCTGACCCAAATGCCATACATTTCTAGTAGTTCAAATCTACCAGTGGTTCCATGGAAAAGATGAGAAATCTCCTCTCATGCCTTCAATCTTTATGTGGTGTTGCATAGATCTTCCCCTATTTCTGCTTGCTTTATTTTGATCTTTTTGTCTGAAAAGGAGGATGACGTAAAGTACAAGCTTATAAAATGTTGCCTCATAACAAAGAAAACTTGTTCCCAAATGAGATTACCACCACTATATGGATTTACACATATTTTGGACTACCAATTCAACCCAAAGTACAGTCCTTAAATGGCAACTCATTTGATGCTTTCTTACTTAAGATTGCTCTTGTATTAATGTAAATCAGGTTTCATGCACACACACACACACACACACACACACACATACACACACCTGAGAATATCTGAAATTTACCCTTATTAGTGAGGTACTTATTTTTTTTAATTTTTGTTTAATTTCTTTATTTTTCATTTCAGTGAACATCTACAGAGTTTTTGGAATTCCATTCATTCATTGTTGCACCCATCTCCCC